AGTGGTAGTGGCAGTGGCAGTCAGTGGCAGTGGCAGTGGCAGTGGCAGTCGCAGTGGTAGTGGTAATGGTAGTGGTCGTCGTCGTCGTAGTAGTACTTCTCAGCCTTTCATTCACAAAATCGAGCCCGATCCCGCCCTAGATCACCATGAACGAGAGAGGCTTTGCACCAATGCCCAATCACGCCGCCACAGAGTAGAGTAGAGCACCAAACAACAAAGCAAACAAGGGTGCAAGCGAGGCCGCGGCCATCGACCCGCATCACAGGCACCTTGCTCCCTGGGAAGACCTCCACCTGAATCGCAACTCTGTGCTTTTGAGCTAAGAAGGCGGGGTCCGGCTGTAGCCGCCCCGCCTTTCCTCCGGCTGCGCGGATGCGCTTCTCTTCCTCCGGTGCACTGGGCGTGTGGTCCTTCGTTTCGCCGACCAGTTCATGACCTGAGCTGATACGAAAATTTCAACAGAATGCCAGGACCCTTGAACTATGACCGGGCCTCAACAATTATCCGTGAAGGACTACAAACACTTGCCTTCAAGTACAGACCACCAAATGCTTCCCGATGGCTGGCTGGACCCCCGTTCTTGCGCGACTTCCTGAAAGGTGAGAATTGTCAGACTGTGCTTGGCGTGCCCCTGCTGTTGGCGAAAGCAGCACTACTGTCCGCACCAGGGCCGTCTTGAGTGCAGCAAGGCGACAAAACCAAGGCACGCCTCAGCAGGCCGCAAGAAGGCTGTGTCGGTGATACTTTGCACAAAGCTTGGCTGATCGTCAAGTTGCGAGTCTCCCAAGTTGGCAAGGAGAACACCATATGTCGATGGCACGTCCTGACTGAACCAATTGTCGTGTCTCAGCTGGATGGGTCAGCAATTCCAAACTGCTCCAAGCCTCTTTCTTCCACACATAAGCGAAAACGCAGGTTGTACCACCTCAGCAGGATCTCGCGGCGGAATCCGCGCACGGGCTGGTTCGCAGTGCATCTCCCCGAGTCATGGAGTTATTAAAGCTTTAGAAGCGTGCCGAACTCAGGCATCTTCGCTCGACAAGTCGCACTCTCTTGCCGCAGGCCCGAGCTTGATGCGTAAGTGCCTGTCAAGGGCCTTACAACAAAACATGCAATGCTGCTTCGTACGCGGACTCTTGACAAGCCAACATAGCTGCAGTCAGTGACTCACTCAAACCTGAAACATACTGCTCAGGTGTGGACAAGGTAAGTGCCCGCGACCTGAACAAACTTCTGCGAGGGTGTGTTTTGAGGCCTTTAAGTTCTTAATGCCTTGTGCCGCACTGTGAGCCTAGGCTGAGAGCACGGCGGCTGCCTGTCGCGCTTCGGGTGTGTCTCGACCAGCAGCATCTAACTCCTGGCAGCCCAGACAGATATGCCCCGTGAAGATGGAGAAGGAGTCCTCGGAAACGGGCACCTCACGGATCTCCGTTGGTATCCGCTCTGCGCAAGCTCTCGCCGCCGAGATCCCACCATGGCCATCGAACACGGCAAATAAGCAGTCTGTGCACTGCGGCTTCTCCACTGCTGGCAGAGAAGGTCCACTGACCAGCTCTGGAAGATCATCGAACAGCCCAGGCAACCCTGCTGCCTTGATGTTCGGAGCAGGCCCCTCCGGAAGCCCATCGCATATCATCACATGCACGTCCTCATTCTGAGGTCGTGGACCCTGGGCGCTGCAAGCAGCCGACGCTGCCCAGGGGCCTTTCGAACTCTCCACCTTGATGGCTCCATCGCTCGCCACCATCTTCCCACGCAAGGCTTAGTAAGTCCCTTAAATACTGCAGTACCATGGAACATTTCAAGACATAGCCCTGAGGTAAGTTATCATCAAATGATGCCCCACGTGCCCAAGTACAAGTTGACGCTATGCCTGCCACCCACATTTGCTTGAGAGCTGTGGTTTGCAGGTAATGCCAGGCACGGTAAAGCGGATTATACCTGTCAACAAGCCATGCTCCGATTATCCGGTTGTAGGCCACCAAAATCCTTCGAAGCCGTAGCATGTCACAGGCCTTTCGGAGTAGAGCTTGTATTCTCTACCTGTGAATGCAAACTGATGCGCTTGAATCATCCGCAACTTGCCACGGCTCGGAAGGTGCATAGCCAAGGAACGAAAGCCGGCGCATATCAAGGACTGATGCCATGCGAGGGCCAAAGCCGCCTTGCAACCAGAAGCATCAAGTTTCGCACGGAGTCAGCAGTGTCATTCCGACTCTGTGCAGCACCGGATTGCACAGCCCGCTTTGCACGCGGCCATTTATTTTCTCCTTGGCGTGCCGGATCCACTGCACGCAGATATCCTCGCACGCGAAGTCATTCTCTGATGGCAGCGGCACTGCTTCGAATGTCCAGCCTCAAAATGATACGAGTACTCGTCTTCTAGCAGTAGTAGCCTTTTTGCTGCCTACTCCAGTTTAGGAGATCAAAGCTCCGTCTCATGCATCTCAGGAGCCAGTGTCAGCCATGAGCTTGCGAAACTCCTCTCAGAGAACCGAGGTGATTCCATCAGAGGCCTAGTTTCCTAGTTGTGCACAGAAGGGACTTTGGGGCATCAAGAGCTCAGGCTGCACTTTCGTCCCGCCTCCTCAACTCCTCTCATCTCATTTGCCCAGATAATGCTGCTGGGGGCAAGTGAATCCAACGTCTGTACCAATGGCCGAAAGCAGTGAGGAAGGTAAACGCAGTCCTCAAGCGGATATTTCACGAGCAGCTTTAAAATCTACAGGATCTAGCCTAGCTGCTTAACGCCAAGGCATGCCCAAGTCCGGTGCCACTGTGAACAATCAACACTTGCATATGCCTGCTTGCCAGCCTGATAAGCAAACAAGATTTCTTCCAACTACCCCGGATGTCAGAACATCGCCCGAGCTCGTTATCTTTGTCAGCTGAGGTTTGAAACCTGCACGAAGATGAACTTTGTGCCTTTGGTCCGTGGTGTTAATTTGTCATTGGGGTTGGATCAGGTTTGTTGTGTGCTCTTGAAGCTTGGGGCACCTTGAATCGTAAGGCTACTTGCATGCTACCCTCGCATGTTACAGCTTGACCGACACGGGTTATATCGCATCGGCCCCTCGTGCTTGTACTTCGCTTCTGCTGTGGATGCAGGCTGCAAGTCTCGAGCAGCATGGCATAGTTCTGAGCCAAGCGGTTGTTCAACAATTTCGATCATATCTCTTCAGCCTGAATCTACCCCCTACTGCGTCTTGTGTCTTTTCCCGAGACTGAATCGGCTTCACATCTCGGTGGGAGTTGCAAAATCCCAAGGCTTAAACGCCCCGTGCAGACTCTTTGTTACGGTCTTCCTATGAAACATACCTCCGCTTCTACACGCTTCGGTATGTTACCGACAGCATGTAGTCGGGGCTGGATTGTGTTCTTTCATTGAAGCTTGGTCTAGTCTAAGCTTGGTACTGCCTATTGCAAGTGATGTGAGGTGGACGCAAAGTTCCGGAAGCAGAGCTTGACCGGCTTGGCTGAAGCGAATGTGGCCATGCCAGCATTGTGTACGCTGTTTGGGTTTGGCATTTAAGAGAGATCTGGGCATAATTCTCTCCAGGCTGCGGACATGATCACAGTGTCGACATCCAGATCGGGACGCACACTTCCCCATTCCAGTTCAACTGCATCTGCTACATCCTCCCGATCGGCATGCAGTACCAAACGACAGTTTCAAATTCCTAGGGGTCACTCCTCCAGTCCATTCGCCCGGATGTTTGCCTGCAGCTGAGGAAGTAGCATCGCACGATCCTGATGTCAGCTTCGTTTTTGTTCGTGCTTGTGGTTGGGACCAGAATGGAGCAGGTTGCACGGACCGGTTCAGATGAGGTGATCATATGCACTGCCGCAACCCGAGAAGCTAGATTCAACCTGCAAGCCCTGACCCGAGATTGGCCTTCCCTTGGATGACGCAACAAGTCTTTGAGGTCTAGAGATCCTGTCCGCTGCGCCTACACCTGCAGGAATACTCAAGAGAGCTGTTGCGAGACATATGCTACAGTAATAAATGTGAACCTGCATCCGAGCAAAACACATTGCGTCCCCAAACTCTTGACTATCCATAAGAGTGAGATGAACTGAAGGCACGCAGGATAGCAATTCGTGGTTGGTCTTTCGGATGTCATACGATCTCTTGCACGGCGCTCTTCATGTATTTCCCTGAGGGCAGCAAGCGAGTGACACGGGCATGCTTCCGCGGCAAAAGATTGAATGGATTTGTGCATGGGTAAACATGTTGTTGTCGGCTTGCTTTTGTAGAGGCAGGCGGTGATGGAAGCAACTCCAAGGACGTGCAAGCGTGAAAAGCAATCAGAAAAGGGAGCCACGGTCAAGGAGGTACTGCGGACAAGTGAGAGCGATGACGGCATAGAATGAACGCATAGGTGCACCCCCAGTCACCCAGATGCCCGCCCTCTTCGAACCTGCGTCTCTCATTGGTTCCCCCTTCGCTTCAAGTCAAAACTGTCGCTGGAAGATGCAGATGGCTGCAGTTGACGCTCTCTCAGCCACGTCGCTGTCAACGTGGTTCGATGGCCAAGTGCAGCTGCAATGAGCCCAACATATCCAGTTCCCGATCCAAGCTCCAGGACTCTTGGACCCAAAGAGATCCTCAGCATCCGTAGCATCTGTGCCATGAAGACAGATACAAATCATAAAGGAGCATCCTTTGCAAACATGCTCGCTTGCAGGGAGCTCCTCACTGCAAGTATGAATTTGATTTGAGAGGGTCTGTTGCTTCACCAGGATTTCGCCCAAGCAGAGTGCTGAGTCCCAGATGGATGCGCCAGACTCATCGTCAACGTCGGAAGAAGCCACCTCCAAAACCTGGACGAGCAGCGCATGGTGCCGGCTACAAACACACAACACACAACACACACACACACACTTACTCGGCATCATGTACTGTGGGTACA